CTCAAGTGATAAATAAATAAATAAATAAATAAATAAATAAATAAATAAATAAATAAATAAATAAAGATAGATAAATTACTATGTATGAAAATATCATGATGAAGGGCTTCGGGAGCCGTGACGTGGAAAGTGTTGGGACGCTGGGGTTTCTTCTGTCTGACCCGCTTCATTTGTCCACAGCCTGCGGCGAGAGGGCTACACGGTGCAGGTAAACGTGAACGACTATCTGGATATTTACTGTCCGCACTACAACAGCTCAGGGGTGGGCCCGGGGGCGGGGCCCGGGCCTGGTGGCGGGGCGGAGCAGTACGTGCTGTACATGGTGAGCCGAAGCGGCTACCGCACCTGCAACGCTAGCCAAGGCTTCAAGCGCTGGGAATGCAACCGGCCGCACGCCCCTCACAGCCCCATCAAGTTCTCAGAGAAGTTCCAGCGCTATAGCGCGTTCTCGCTGGGCTATGAATTCCACGCGGGCCACGAGTACTACTACATCTGTGAGTGACAGCTGGGTCCCCGCGGGCACGGCGCGGGCGGGACCCAGAACTCGTCCGAGTCAGGGTGGCGGAGGTTCATCTCTGAGGGGTTGTGAGGCTGGAGGGTTTGAACCCCAGATGTTTCTGTTAGGGACGTTCTGGGTTGCGCTGACTGCGGAGCGGAGGGTGGAGCAGCTACTACCGGATACTGGGACTGGCGGAGGGGGGTTGCTCGGCGGGAGTTCGGACGGAGGCTGTTGGGAGGGCGCAAGGGCACTAGGCTGAGAAAGCCACTCAGGCCCAGTCTCCTCCTCAGCCACGCCCACTCACAACCTGCACTGGAAGTGTCTGAGGATGAAGGTGTTCGTCTGCTGCGCCTCCAGTGAGTATCGTCGACCTCCAGCCACCCCAATCCTTGGCTCCCTTGCTTCGGGGCTCCCTTGGCTTCCTGGGATGGGGGCGGAGGGCACAGGCGACGGGGACTAGCTCCCCAGCTGTAGCAGGGGGCGGGGGTCCTGGCCCTGACTTTCCCCTCCTCTCTCCCCACCCGCACCCCACCCCGCAGCATCGCACTCCGGGGAGAAGCCGGTCCCCACTCTCCCCCAGTTCACCATGGGCCCCAATGTGAAGATCAGCGTGTTGGGTGAGTCTGCGCAGCGCCCTCTGGTGGCCACTGCTGGAACCGCAGCCCCCTTCGCGGTGCCTGCTAATTTCGCATGCCTTCCCCTGGGGCACCAGTCCTTCCTGCCCCAGTGGGTGGTCACGTCCCCAGCTCCACTGCTGCTGCTGCTGCCGCCGCGTGCCCCCGCCCCAGCCCACAGCCCAGCCCTCACCAGTCTGCCTATTTATCTGTCCACAGAAGACTTTGAGGACGAGAACCCCCAGGTGCCCAAGCTTGAGAAGAGCATCAGCGGGACCAGCCCTAAGAGGGAACACCTGCCCCTGGCCGTGGGCATCGCCTTCTTCCTCATGACACTCTTGGCCTCCTAGCTCTGCCCTCTCCCCTGGCAGGGAGAGATGGAGTGGAGTTGAGAAGGAGCAGAGAGTCTTGGGCCTCTCCAAGGGAAACCTAGCTGTGGGGCCTACATTCCCCTTCCCACGGTTGGAAGTGGGATCAGCACCATACATCTGTGCCTGCCCCTTCTGCTCCCTCTCTCCAGGGCACTGTAGTGGATCAGGCACAGGGACAGCTGCAGGTCCCAAGTGGCCTTGTGGCTTCGGTAATGTCTGGTACCAAACTTGGGGGCCATAAAAGGCAGTGCTCAGGACTCCCTGCCCCCTGGTACCTCTCCCTTGACACTTGGTGCCCTCCCTGTTTGTCCCCAAAGAGGCAAATAAATATGCCCCAGAGAGAAGAAACAGAAGCATTGGAGGCACCTGCTGTCACGCACCTCCAGGACAGCAAGTCGGGAGGGACTAAATGGGTGAGGGGTAGCACCTGGGCTGCCCCCTTCCCCTGTTTACAGCAATAAGCACGTCCTCCCTCCACTCCTATTTGCAGGACTGTGGTTTGGATTGAATCCAAGTTTACAAATAGACACCCCTGGGGGGAGCAGGCAGTGGACAGGGGTGACAAGGGGTGGGCATTGGGGTGCCAGACAGGCATGTACAGACTCTATATCTCTATATATAATGTACAGAGTCCCTCCCCTCCTTAACCTTGACCTTTCTTGACTTCTCCGTCCAGCTTCAGACCCCTTCCCCACCAGGTTAGCCCTCCCCACCCCAGGGACCCTCCTGGCCCCTCTTTTGTCTTCTGTGAAGACAGGACCTATGCAACGCACAGACACTTTTGGAGACCCGTGACAACAATGCCCCCTCCTTTCCAGTCCTGAGCCGGGAACCAACTCCTAGGACCTTGCCCTGCCCACCCTATGTGGTCCCCACCCATCCTGGGCCTTTTTCAAGTGCTTTGGCTGTGACTTTCATACTCTGCTCTTAGTCTAAAAAAATAAAATGGAGATAAAAATAACTGAGTGTGTGTGATTTCAAGGGGCCGTGTCCCTCTGTTTGCCTGGCTAAACCGTATAGGGATTAGGTCCTGGGTGGAGTCAGAGTCCATGGAGTGCCTGCTCTGGGGTTCATCTCCTTTGGAAGACAGAGATATCTGTGGAAAGTGACAGGGCTTTGCACTGAGCCTGGGTGACTTTGGGCAGGTCCCTTAACCTCTCTAGGTTCAGGCTTGCCATCCCAGAAGCTGGGCTTGAGTACTTATCTCCCGGGGATGGTATGTGGAGAGTCAAGGCCAGTCAACGCTGTTCTCCTTTCATGCAGTAGTCAGAGGTTTTTGGCTGGGGTCTAAGGATTTCAGGGGATTTGTGAATCTAGATAGGAAGAAAATAACATCTTTATTTTCACTCACCTGTGACAAATTTAGCTTCCCTTATGTACTTGGGCAACAAGCCACTAATAGTATTAATGATACCTGTGACTTTGTAACTAATGGAAATCCCAGATGTTTTTCAGACTGCTTTTAGTCATTGATAATATCTCAGAATATTATTTATGTGTCACTACTTTGAAATGATCATAGTTGCTAGACTTTCCTTGTTTTTAGTATGTTAAGAAACATATTACATACCAAAAAATGTAAATGCTTTGATAATTGTGCTTCAATATAAGCAGTTTCTTTTATAACTGTTTGTCATTTTATTTCTTTAAAAGCATGCCCATTGCTGGGCCTGGGGATGCACATAACCCCAGCACCATGTATTTGTCAAGAGAGCAGAGAGGACAGAGGCTGTGGGTGAAGCATGGGGGAGGTAATCAAAAGGGCCTCTCAGGAGCCAGGGAGGGGGCTTTCTCTAGCCAAGCTATGCTCCTAGGGGACTCCATCCCACCCAGGTTCTCTTACTGGCACTGTGTAAACAGCTGGGTCCTAGGCAGATATCCCTCCTACATGCTCCTATGGTTGTCAGCCACAATGTGAGAGTGTGTGCTAACCACCACTGGCACATGCCTGAAATCCCAGCACTCAGAAGACTGAGGCAGGAGGGCCGCTACAAGTTTGATGCCGGCCTAGGCTATGGAGTGAGGCCCTTTCAGAGAGACACACACAGAGAGAGAGAGAGAGAGAGAGAGAGAGAGAGAGAGAGAGAGAGAGAGAGAATGCTCTTGTTGAATTTTTGCTATGGCCTAATGAAGATTCTTGGAGAGGAGAGTGGAGTCAGGAAAAATTTAGGCAGGCAGTGGGCCAGTCTGACACTCAACTGTGAGAAAAGACTGGAAAATTGGGCTCAACTATCCTATTTTCCAAGTTGTCTGTCAACATTCATTGAACACCTAAGTGCCAGGTACTGAAGATACAAAGAAGACACGGCCTGTGCTTTCAGATAATTTGCTATGTGTGGTGATGCATACCAGTAATCCCCGGCCTTGAGAAGCTGGGGCAGAAGGATTGGGAGTTGGAGGATAGTATGGGCTACATACCTTGTCTGAAAAACAAACAAACCAAATGTGATGTGCCAGTGAGTAAAGTGCTGGCTATGCAGGCCTGAAGACCTGAGTTCAAGCCCCAGAACACATATAAAAATGAAAAGAATCAACTCCTGAAAGTTCTCCTCTGACTTTTACATGCACTCATGTACACACAAAAACACAGCAGCCAAGAGCTGATGAAATAACAGGGGAAATCATACCTTTGCCTGGGGCCTCAGGAAGCAGATACAAAGTGCTGACCCCATTGTGAGGTACTGGAGTTCTTGCAGGAGTGGAGATCATCCATGAGGCAGTAGGATTTGGCTGCGGGCCCCTCACATCCCTTGGCCAGGTATAGTAGGGACCAGCTTGTGGATTTGAAAAACTGGAAATAGAGCTGACGAAATGATTCAGAGGGTAAAGGCACTTACTACAGAACCTGATGACCTAAATTCAATCCCTGGGGATCCCACAACCCCACATAGTAGAAGGACAAGCTGTCCTCTGACACACACTACACACACACACACATACACACACATACATACACACACACACACATACACACACAAAATAAGAAAAACAAAAATTTAAAAATCTAGAAATAGTAAGATTGAAGGAGCCAGACATTTGGGGACAAGTGGTAAGACCAAGTTTTGTTTTCTGAGCACTGTGCCCTTTTTTAAAAAATATTTTATTATTTTTATGTATATGAGTATACTGCTTGTATGTAAGTGCACCCATGCCATGCAGTGTGCACAGAAGTCACAAGAGGGCCTCAGATCCTCCTAAAACTGGAGTTAGGGATGGTAATTATCTGCCATGTGGGTGCTGGGACCTCTGCAAGAGCAGTCGGTGCTCTTAACTGCTGAGCCATCTCTCTAGCCTGCATTGTGCCCTCTTAAGTCTTACTACTGCAACAATAGAAAGTATCTAAGAGATTGTATCCTTTGACTGGGGTCACAGAGCCTGAAGGTAGTAGAGCTGACAATCAAGGTGGGTCTCAAGGTCGTAGCTCAGTGGTAGAATGCTTGCTCAGGATGCATAAGATCCTGGGTTCACTCCCCAGTACCACAAAAAAAAAAAAAAAAAAAAAAGCAGAGGGCCGGGGGTGGTGGCACACATCTTTAATCCCAGCACTCGGGAGGCAGAGGCAGGCAGAGCTCTGTGAGTTCAAGGCCAGCCTGGTCTACATAGTGAGTTCCAGGACAGCTGGGGCTACAGGGAGACCCTGTCTCAAAAAGACAAAAACAAAAACAAAAACAAAAAAAAAAAAACAACAGAAACTGTCTGATTGTCCACTGGAACCTCTACCCATACCTAGAGCCCTTTCCCACAGATCCTGACTGCCTTTCCTCATGCCCACAGCTTATTATTCTATTTTCCTCCCATGAGGAGAAAGATACCTGAGCCCTCAAGTCTGCATGAGTTATGGGGTCCCCATTTCACAGACAGGACAACTGAAGCTCAGAGACAGCAGTGTCTTTGACACAGGCACTCGGTGTCTGTGCCAGAGCCAGGGCTGGAAGTCAGGTATCCTGGGCTTTCATCTTCTATTATACCAAGATGGGGAAAATTCATACCCTCAGAGGAAGCACCGCCCTTCAAGGAACTTTTCATCTTCCAAAAGCTCAGGAGTACTTCTTGGAGACCCACCTCCAGTGGGTCTAGTTTCACTGTTGTTGTAGTGACAAAATACGCTGATTAAAAAGCAACTTAGGGAGAAAAGGGTTTATTTCAGCATCAATTCCAGGTTACAGTCCATCACAGCAGAGCAGTCCCAGTGGCAGGAGGCTAGAACAGCTGGTCACATCCTCAGTCAAGAGCAGAGAAAGGCAGGTGCATGCAAGCTTGCTTGCTCCTCTCTGCTTCCTCCTCTCTTCTGCTGCTCAGGAACCCCTTCCTGGGGGAATGGTGCTGCCCCGTGGACTGGGGCCTTCCTACATCAATGAACAATCAAGACAGTCCCCTACAGACATGCCCACAGGCTAACCTGATCTAGATAATTCCTCATTAAGAGTCTCATCCAAGGAACTAGAGAGATGGCTCAGTGGTTAAGAGCACTGTCTGCTCTTCCAGAGGACCTGGGTTTGGTTCCCAGCATCCACGTGGCAGCTAACAACCATCTTTAACTCCAGTTCCAAGGGATTTGATGCCCTTTTCTGATTTCCAAGGTCTAGCAAGTTAGGACAACCAGCTCCAGATGAGAGGGGTCTTACTCCTTCTTTGGGCTCATTTAGATATCGCAGCAAGAACATCAAGAAGGGTCACACCCACACATGCTGGGGAGGACACAGTGCTCTCCCAGATGAGTTTCCCAGGGGCAGCATTACATATCCCCTCCTCATGTCCTGAACTGGGCAGTGGGGGACAGCCCCAGCAAACAACTGAACACAACGTTGGGCTCGGGGAATGAGATTTGGTTCAGAGTAGCCATGTCATCCCTTTCTGGGTGAGAAGACACTCCAGCCAGCTTTGCTCAGGCAGGGGAAGAATCGGGACTGTTTGCAACCACGACCGAGCACTGTGCCTGCTGTGGCTGGGCTCCACACAGAGCCTGAAGTTCTACTACATATCCACCAGGTGGCGCAGCATCTAGGCTGGGGTCTGCCATGGTGTGGGTGGGACTTCGTCCTTTTTGGGGGGGGTCTTTTTGAGACAGGGTCTCCCTGTAGCTCCGGCTGGCCTGGAACTCACTATGTAGACCAGGCTGTCCTTGAACTCACAGAGATACGCCTGCCTCTGCCTCCCAAGTGCTGGGATTAAAGGCATGCGCCATCACACCCGGCATTTTTTTTTTTTTTAATATATATTGGGAGAGGATCTCATATATCCCAGGCAGACCTCAAACTCATTATGAGGATGGCTTTGAACTCCTGATCCTCTTACTTTCACCTACCATGCCCAGTGTTTTGGGTTTTATTTTACTTTATTTTATTTGATGTGTATGAGTATTTTGTCTTCATGTATGTAAGTGCACCATGTGTATGCAGTGCCCATTATGGACAAAAGAGGGCATCAGATCTCCTTGGAACTGGAATTACAGATAGTTGTGAGCTGCCATATGGGTGCTGGGAACCGAAGCTAGGTCCTCTGCAAGAGCAGCCAGTTCTCTTAACCCCCAAGCCAATTCTCCAGTCCTTGGTTGTTTGTTTTTTAGTAATTTATATATATATATATATATATATATATATATATATGTATATTTATTTACTTTACTTAATGTGCATGTCTGTGTCTGTGTTTACGGGTGTGCACATACCACAGCACAGCCTGTGTGTGATCAGAGGACAGTTTGTGGGAGTTCATTTTCTCCTTCTACCATGTGGGTCCCAGGGCTTGAACTTAGGTTTCCAGGCTTGACAGCAAGTGCCTTTACTGTCTGAGCCATCTTGCCAGTCCCAGCCTTTTTTTTTTTCTGTCTTTTTGACACAGGGTCTCCCTGTAGCACCCACTGGACTGGAACTCACTATGCCTGGTTGCGTGTGCCACCATGCCCGGCCTTTTTTTTTTTTTTTCAATTTTTATTTATTTTTATTTTATGTGTATGAGTGTTTTACCTGCATGTATATAAGTGCACCTGTGTCATGCAATGTGCACAGAAGCGAGAAGAGGGATGATGGATTCTTTGGAATTGGAGTTAAGGACTATTGTTAGCTACCATGTGGGTGCTGGGAACTGAACCCAGGTCTTCTGTAAGAGCAGCCAGTGCTCTTAACTACTAAGCCATCTATCCATCTCCCAGCTTTCTTTCTTTATTTAATTTATTATTTATTTTTATTTTATGTGTATGAGTGTATTGCCTGCACGTATGTGAGTGAACCCATGTCATGTAGTGCTGCAGAGGTCAGAAGAGGGCTTTGGATTCCCCTGGAACTGGAGTTAAGGATGGTTTGTAGTCCCCATGTGGATGCTGGGAATCGAACCTGGGTCCTCTGCAAGAGCAGTCAGTGCTCTTAACTGCTGAGCCATCTCTCCAGCCCCAGCTTTTTTTGTTTGTTTTCTGTTTTTTCTTTTTGAGACAGGGTCTTCTTGTAGCCCCAGCTGTCCTGGAACTGGCTATGTAGACCAGGCTGGCCTCAAACTCACAAAGATCTGCCTGCCTCTGCCTCCGAGTGCT